AAGCGGTACATGCTAGTTGGACCCAGAATGAGTATAGGATCTACCATAGTTCCGGGTAGCCATGCAAATACTCTAGTGCTTCCTGATAGGAGACGCACATCTGAAGAGGTAAGAAAGACTTTATTTAAACAGTTGTTTTGAGAGTAGTTCACAATTCTCAGACATTCCAAAAAATACTGACTCAACATATTTAGAGCTTGAATTCCGTTGATATAAATATGTTCAAAGTGCCGCGTTAAACTTTCTCTTTATAACAGCTGAATAGAAATTGAACATAAATTTGTAGTGTGTATTCATCACCCAAACTAGCTGTGTGTGTGTTAATGAGATGGTTGGTATGTGTTTGCTAACAAGTAACGAGCTGATCTGTTAAAATCATAAATTAAACTACAGTTAGTGTGCTGTGGTTTAATATTGATGTTTATCCCTTTTGCCTTTGAAACTGAAAATATCTAATAAATCAGAAACAGACAACCTTTCATGAAAGATTTAATTTTAAAAATTCAAGAAAAAAATAATTGATTTTCAGAACTAGAACACCTGAAACATTTCTTTGGTAGTTTTCCCACTTTAGAGGCCGCTGACAAAACTGTAGCAGATTTCAAGGAATTGCAGGGAACTGAATTGTATCACTGAAGTTACTGGGTGTTATATATTTTCCAAATGAGGAAACCACAGTGATGACCTTTTAGAATGATGGGCGTGCTCAGAGCAAATTATGGCGCAATTTCTGACGTTTAAAAGACATTATCGATAATGACACCGTGTTTTAATACATATAATGCTGTGTTATTGTCGTTGGATAGTTAAATCTATAACGCGCATGTCTATTTAATTCCCATAACATTTATGTGTGCTGAAAGTGTATCAGACTTTGTCGGTGTGCGTCTGCCTGTGGTCGGTAGTGTTGCTGTCCATAGTGCTGAAAGTTGTTACAGTACTACAAGCCTTTTTATTAGAAATAATACAGAAATAACTCATATAAATTTCCAAAGAAGAAACCTTACAAATAACAGATAATATATCTTATTCTTAGCAGAACGCTGTTTTGTTTCCTGCAGTTGCCAAATAGTTTTGTTGCTTGAATTTAGTTGATTTTATTTTATTTCTTAGGTCCACGGTGCTGCAATAACGTTATATATCGCATGGTGTCGGTGTAATTACAAATGTTTTCTCTAGTGTCTTTTTGTCGTCACCAGCTGGTCCAGCCCTGTATTTTGGCATTTTGTGCAACGAGCTTAAATAAGAATTCAGCTGTTTGTCGTTCTCGGTGGTGTGCACAGATAGGTTTAATTTATGGAGAGCAGGTTAAAAAGGAACCCTGCTGCACTTTATTTGTAAACGACACAATAATTGATCCTGAAGTCATAATTTTATTCTGCACATAATGGAACAAAGAGGACGGCGGACGTGGATCGAGCGATGGAGATGCATAGTCTACGCGGTGGCATTGGTGATGTTTGGGAGCGAAGCCTCGGCTCAGATCAGATATTCCATCTCTGAAGAGGTTAAAGAAGGAAGTGTTGTTGGAAACATTGCGAAAGACGCGGGGATTGATAAGGTTACGCTGAAGGAAAGAAAGTACCGCATTGTTGGCAGTTCAAAGGAACCCCTTTTTCATTTGAATCAAGACGACGGTGTTCTGTATGTGAGCAGGAAAGTGGACAGGGAAGAGATTTGCGAACGAAGACTCGATTGTGTAATAAACCTTAAAACAGTGCTAGAAAATCCTCTGGAAATCCATTATGTGGCCGTAGAGGTGGTGGATGTAAACGACCACTCCCCCATATTTCCAGAGAAAGAGAAACGACTTGAAATATTTGAATCGACGATACCTGGTGCAAGATTTCAGCTCCAACCTGCACGAGACCCAGACGGTAGCCAGTTCTCTGTTCACCAGTACAAACTAAGTCACAGTGATCACTTTCGTTTGGAGTTAAAAGATAGAGATGATGGTAAAATGCCATTTCTAGTTTTACAGAAGCAGTTAGATAGAGAAGCTGCGAGAGAGCACAAGCTTCTCCTTACCGCTATTGATGGGGGGAGACCGCCAAAGTCTGGGACAACGCAAATACTGATTGAGGTACTTGATGTTAACGACAATGCACCTGTTTTTACACAAGATGTATACTCTGCTATGCTGAATGAAAACGCAGCCCCCGGCACGCTAGTCATTCGGGTGAATGCCACAGATTTAGATGAGGGAGCAAACGGTAAAATTGTTTACTCTTTTGGTAAGGAAGTAGAAATCAAACTGCAAAATCTGTTTTATATAGACTCGAGCACGGGGGAAATTAAAGTGACTGGTGAAATTGATTACGAAGAAAATGAACGCTATGAAATTGATATAAGAGCGTCTGATGAGGGGACTATCCCTTTATCAACAGACAAAAGTGTGATAATAAAGGTAATCGACCTGAACGATAACCCACCCGAGATTGAAGTCACGTCATTTTCTAAGTCAATTCCCGAAGACTGTAGGATTGGAACAACAGTAGCTTTGATCAGCGTGAACGATTTAGATTCAGGTCCCAGTGGGAAAGTCTCCTGTTTCATACCTGAGGATGTTCCTTTTGCTATATCGCCATCCCTCCAAGATAATATGTACGCCATAGTGACCAAGTCACTGCTGGACAGAGAAGAAAGGTATTTTTATGAACTTACAGTTGTTGCAAAGGATGCTGGTGTTCCATCACTCTTAAGTGAAAAGACAATAACTGTGGCGATATCAGACGTGAACGACAACAGGCCTCAGTTTTCAGTCAGTCCTTACATATTTTACATCACTGAAAATAACGATTTAGGTGCACAATTATTTTCAGTAAAGGCGTCCGATTGTGATGACAGTGATAATGCGCGTATTTCATATCACGTTTATCGGGACAACAGCGAAGGCAGTATGGCATTGTTTTTAAATATTAACTCGGAAAGTGGAGATGTTACGGCGCTGAAAAGTTTTGACTTTGAAACGATGAAAACTTTC